TTATAAGCACTAAAATACCAATAACGAAATACAAATTATTGTTGTATATGTATTTTAAAGTATACAAATTTAACTAAATTCAGATATACACACTGCAGATAATATCAGGAAAAATATATGTTCTGGATACATTCGTAAATAAAGGTATTTAAATATTGTACTAATGGAATTATCATGAAATTATGTTAAGAAATAAACTATTCGCAATTCTGAGTTTTCTGTTAGTGTTTGTAATCTGAGTTTACACTAATTTAAGTAGTGGAAACATAAATAACAATTATTTTATTGTAATTATCAATAAAATTGTTATAAATAATGATTATGTATAAGTTTATATCTTTGTTATCTGATATCAAAGAGAAAAAATGAAACAAAAAATAAGTAAAAAACGGTCGCATTTCTATTTTCCTAATCTAAAGACTAACTCTTGTGTTATAAATTAATTCTCGTATTCTCTCTGACTGTGAACAATTAATACTGGTGCGTTTTGGTAATTGGATGGCGAGGAAGCCTAGAACCAAGAAAGAACGCTAGCTAGAACTCGATAGATGCTTGCAAGCAGCGAGCTGCTTGCTATTATCTTACCTATAGCCTCTAGCCTAGAACAGTCGAATAGTCAATCGTCAAAGTCGAAACGAGCTCGAGATGAGCATTAAGTTGTTTGATGTTCCTCCGAACCCAAACTGATCTCGTTCGAGCGTCAAACCGTTTAAGCTTTCCATCCGTCTCGGATAGAAAATGTTTAAAAACTCACTACTAGCCGTTATCGTTAAATTATGGTCGCTCGATTAACAAATTTGAAGGTCGTAGATATTAGAATTGCATTTATTGGGGTCTACTTTCTAAAAATCATGAAATTCTATGTATATTTACAATACTTAGTCGTCAAAAACGTCGTATCAACGATTTTCTGTTTGAATTAAAATCCAATTGAACATATTTTCTGATTAGTTTTTTTCTTTGCATGCATTTACGAAATCTAAATCGTGCTCGATATAGAACTTTTACTAAAACTATAAAAATAAAGCGTAAAAAATCTTAACAGATGGATTCCCTCCAAAATTGTGACAGACATTTACACATGTATTTCAATGCAACGCCATATCATTATGTACTAATTACATATACTGTTTTAGTATATGAGCTTCGAAATATTTTTTAAATTTTTACCGTAATTAAACTATTTTCGAACGGGCCAAAAATTTGCAATGGCCAGTATTAATTTATATTATACAATTCTGTTGGATTAGCTGTTTATTCATTTAAAATACAATAAAACCACTATCTACGAAGCGAATTTTATCGGTCTTCGGATTCAGTAATGTATCGTGCCTACGCTTTCTCCCTTTTTAATACACATAAATTATTGTAATAGACTTATATAAATATATTTGGTAAAACAATATAACAATAATATGGTTACAAAAATCCTTATAAGGTCTTGAAATTATAATCAATGTTTAAAAGTATCATTGAAATAAATAAATTTATTTAATCAAAAAAAAGTTTATTCTTTCTTTCGCCCAGATTCCGGCAATCAAATTGACAGTTCAACATTATAATTTACTACCTATTAATTACTGAACCTAAAGAATAACGTACAAATTTATTTGTCGAAACAATTTTATTTGATTGAACCTCAAACTATTGTAAAAATCCTTGTAATTACATATTCCATCGCCCAGTATTACCTTATACCCAGTATTACATTATATGACCAATCGTGATTTGAAAGACATTAATTGCTAATAAAGTTGAAAACAATTGAACATACATTTTATGTATTACTTTGCGCTAAGAAAACAATATGTGCACAGGCATTATTAATATAGTTCTAAATATAAAAGCACAATAGAAAAGTTAATGCATATTGATCTTGCAAATAAATGTGTTGTACAGTAATCACAAATACTGTTTAGATACGAACTTCATAACAAAAGAACATATAGATTTAACATAAAAAGTTATTTTATGAAATGCTTTTTGAATTATCTAGCAGTGCGTTTAGCCATGGCAAATTCAACATCTTATCGCTGTAATTTTCGTCAAGACATGGATTTTTACGAATTAGAGTTACATAGATACATTGAGTATGAATGAGATACGGAGCCGCGGTTAAATGGAAATTGCAGCACGCATATCTTGGTATGCCATAACATAACAAATGCAATTTAAAAATAGGATTATTACATGGAAGAATAGAGGCTTAACATTTCTTGAACTATTTTATATTCCATTTTTGGATGTGAGATGAGTGTTGCTAATTACAGATAAGTAGTAATGGAAAATAATTCAAACTGTGTTAATGATAGATGATAATAACAATGAGTTGTAATTCACGGTGTATTTGAAATTCTATTATTTGTAGTCAAAGACAATACAATGCAGGTGAGATTTGTTGTTTCCACTTCAAAGATGTACATTTCTTTTCATAAAGTGTTAAAATGATATTGGAGAAAAAAAGGTGATGATTGGAATGGACGAGTTATACAATAAAGACAGCAACAGCTAAATAAAAATGGAGATATTATAGTGTCTATTCAAACGATCTACAGTTCTCCACAATGAGCTACGACAATTCTCTTCGAGGTTTTTCCACTCTCAGATCCCATTGCCTCTAGCTAAAAACAATTTAAAACTTTCACTACAAAGAATATTATTGGTAAAATAAAAATTAAAAAAATATTGCATACCTTTTTAACAACATCCATTCCTTCAGAAACTTTCCCAAATACAACATGTTTGCCATCAAGCCAGCTTGTCTTATTACTGGTAATGAAGAACTGGCTACCATTAGTGTTCCGACCAGCATTTGCCATAGATAAAACACCAGGTTCCTTATGCTTCAGAATAAAGTTTTCGTCATCAAATCTGGAACCATAGATGGATTTTCCACCAGTGCCATTATGATTGGTGAAATCACCACCCTGGCACATGAAGTTGGGAATAACCCTATGGAAAGTGCTTCCCTTGTAACCAAATCCAAATTCACCAGTGCACAGAGCTCGGAAATTCTCTGCAGTTTTTGGAACCACGTCACTTCTTAACTACAATTAAAATTAACATATCTTAAAAATTCACATAATATTCAATCTTTCTAATAATAATTACATGTTAAAAATTTCATAATGTATATTAACACATTATCTGCTAGCCATTATTTAAATAACTTTATCTAAAATAATAGCAGTTTCAATCAAGAAAAAAAACTGAATTATTCTTGATAAAATAATTTAATTATTTTTTCAGGAATTATCTAAAAGAGTTTTAAGTTTTTTTATGAGTATAATTATTGCATATCCTATTAGTAGGTTCTAGTAGATAAAATATTAACAATTTAAAATAGAAATTTCTTTTTATTTGCAACAATAATAAGTTATAATTGATTTCATAAAATTTTGTGACCTTGTAAGGTACATCATGCAGTAATAATGCATTTGTGAAGGAAAAATGTGCTATTTATATAACGGTACACACATATGTGTATGTAATATTTATACATTATACAGATACGCGCGCGCGCGCGCGCGTGTGTGTGTGTGTGTGTGTGTGTGCATTATCAACAATTCAATCGAAAATATTATTAAGTATGTTGTTATAAATTTTTCATTATTTTATTTAAGTTTTTCAACATTTAGTTATCCCTATTTTTCCAATTTAATTATGAATTATAATATATCAGTGTGCTACTTGTTTACAGTAGTACGCCGATCTAACACAAACAAAAGCGGAGCAAATGTAAAATTGTTGTACCAAAAATTTTTATTTCTGGAGAATGTATAATAGAACGTGTGAACTGCAATGGAAAATTTTACAAAGCATGAAAAAATCAAACATGTCGGTAATATGATACACACATGACGTAAATCGTAGCGTATTTCTATAAAATCGTACTAATCGATAGAAACAAACAATTATTCTCTCACTGATAAGCTAAAAATTTTAATTGGATAAAACACATGTAATAATTTATTTCCAAAGAATATACGACGGAAAGGCGTAAGTGGCTACCAAGGAAATTCAAAATGGCCAGTCATGCCGGGATTCTAGCGGCAACGTGAGGAAGAAGAGAAAAATAACTTAATTGATGAAAAGTTTCGCTTACCTCCATCACAATTCGGCCAACAGGCTGGTCATTAGCCGTCATATCAAAGAAAACCATTGGCAAAGTCATTTTGTCGGCTGCAGCAGCTAATGTTCGCACGAATAACGTAAAAGACGATCGTCTCGGCCGGGCGGTGGCTCTCAAATGGCTCAAATGACTGAAGGTCGAATCAATTGACAACCGGCTGATCAATTTCAACGCCATGTCAACCGCTTATACCTACGAAATCGATTTAAATCTATTCGATCTTACCTTCCGTGGCTACAATAACGTCTATATTCTATAATTCAAATTATTAAATGCTATTTTGTATAATTATTATATAATATAAATGTATAGTAATTTTCAGTTCCGTATTAAGTATTATTGAACGGACTGTTACGCTACCGTGTGAACGGGCTTCACGTATGTGTTATGTATGTACAATAATACCTTAGGTTTTGCACGATTTTGTACCTCCCTTAGCTATCGCAAGCATCCCCGCTATTTTACTGCGCACCCAATCCGCAGAGAATCCTGACTTAACATTGAATCATCAACCAATCAGAGCAAAGTAATTTCTACTCCTATTCTCGCTAACGGAGCGTGCTGCGACCGGAGAGTCTTGCAGAAACTCTGCTATCATATATACCCATATCTAGTGATATCGATATTGAAATTAGAAGGGAAATTTAAAATCGCTTATATATACGAAACGTGAAATATATATATATATATATATAGCCTTCAATATTTCTTTATTTCTTAAGATATTCGAGCTTTGTTATTTTTTATCATCAGATCATGTATGTAGATATTCCCCTCAACTTTTTTTTTCTTTATTTCTACAGTAGTGCCTCACCTTAGTGAGAGAAGCAGAGGCAACCAGATTAATAGCATGAAGCTGGTAGAGAAATCTGATTGGTTGATGCTTCACAACTAAACAGTGTTGCCCTCACGGTTCTAGACAAAGAGAGGAAGTTATATATTTGTAACCAGACAAATATGCTTTCTATCCAAACCGCAGGTCGACTTTTGTGCTTATGAAAGTCGAAGCAATCATTATTAGCTATTATTTCAGCCAATAGAAATAATTTTATTTTGTAAAGGGAAAGCTCAAATAATACGACGATGTTGAAGAAAAAAATTGTATGAATCTATTTTATTAGCGACTTATAAATTATTTTAATACTTTTGTTATAATAATTTGATGTCTCTCTATTTATCGCAAAATACTATTCAAGACTCATAGGATTCATGGAGTTTTGATGCAAACTCATGTAGATGACTCAAGTTTAATTACAATAACTTTTACAGACATAATATAAGACACAATAATAGACATATTATTTTTTACAAAATTTATGTGCTTTTGTTGATCAGCTGTCACTGATTTTTTAAATACTTCAACACTCATTTTACGAATATATGCTTATTTTGACATCGATAATATTAATTGTATGTTTTGTTCTTCGATGTTTTCTTTGAATATATAGTTTATCTATATAATTGTCGTTTTAATCCGTATTTCAAACAAATCTGCAATTATATTACATATAACTGATTTGACATGGACAAAGGATGTTATGTCATACATTACCTTGGGCTTGAGAGCTTGTCAGTGATAATCGTGGACCAATCACGATTCTGTTCAATTTTACTCTGCGCCGGATATGACGTGTTTCGCGATGGCGCTTGGAATAAAATGATTCAATAAAATGCAAATTAGTCAATTTTTTACCTGTGATGTAACTGTAAGTGAAATTACATATACACAATTACAGAACATTTTGTACTTAAAGTTAATTCTGATAGGAGTATTCGATATGAAAACAAACATCGAAATGTGGAAACTCATTTTTGTAAATACGTAAATAATAACCATTTTTATTACTGCATTCATAGATAGAATTGAAAGATATTAAAAATATGCTAGCTTAAGTTAGTATTACATATATAATTTACTAGTTTCTCCCACTTAGTAATATAATTAAAAAATTGTATAAAATTAAACGATATACATAGGAGAAAATTATTTACTTGTGGTTAATCTAGAAAGAATACACACACATTATACACACGTCTCTGAATTTCTACATTACGTATGGAGGCACATAATGTACATATGTATATACATTTGCATGTGTTGCATAGCTACAGCAGTCAAATATGGTATATGGACATTAAATATTTCATGGATTGTTTAAATAGAATTGAAGTTGCATTTAAAATAAATTAATATAATTGTTTGTTGATAAATTTGGAAAATTAAACTTTTAAGGAAAAGATTTTATTCAAAATTTTCGAAATTTAATCCAGTTCTTGCGAAGAACTATATTTGATTTCAGTAGTTACAACTAAAAAGATGGCGCCCGAATGAAGGACGCTCAGCTAAGTGCTTGCAATACGTTTTTAAATTTATATACTCAATAATACCATATATTCATTAGGAAATGAGTAATCTTTCACCATTTGGGGGTGGTAAAAACCCACCGTGGGTTCGTAATGCAGGTAAATTACAATTAATATGTTTGATTGCCTTCCCGTGTGCAAGAAAACAACGTTGCCAAGTTTTCTACTTGTATAATTTATGTTTTGTTGTATGGATTTGTGAAGTCATTTATAACAACACTTTTTACATTGTTGATGTATTATAAATTAATCTATTGCCTTTGCCTCCCAAAAATTCTCACGAATAAGGAAACTGTAAACCTTATTACAACACTTGGACATGATTACAGTCGACAAAAAAAAATAAGTTTTATTATTCAATTTATTATTTATATACTTAAAAATTTTATCAAATGTTTAGTAGGTATCTATACCTCAACAGTATAGATTTATGTACATTTTTATATTTTTCATATTTTATTATAATATTATTTTTTGAAGAAGATTATATATTAATTTTGTCCATTGATTAAATGCCTAAAGAATGTTATTTTATATCTAATAAATCAGTGATTGTGATATAATGCCTAATAATTATATGAACAAAATGTTAATATTATGATATACATGTAGTATATATTATATTTTTATTTATACTTAGGTCAGGGAATTCAAAATATTCAACAACAAATGTTAGGTCAAGCAATGGGTGGTATGGGTGGACAACCCATGGTTCAATATCAACAACAAACACAACAGGTTTATCAACAAAGTTTGGGGTTACAACAGGTTAGTAATAATATTATTAGAAACAACTTTGTTTTTAGAAGAAACATTTAATGTACTTTCTTGGTTATAGTAGTATTTATTCTATTCAAATTACCAAAGAATGATGATATAGTACTAGCTCCAACTCGACAATGCTTTGAGCTGTATCTTGTTAAGCAGTCAAGGATAGGGCAGAAGTTGTTTTGTTTTGATTTTCTGACAATTCAGTGCTAAGACAGAATTTACTCCAATAGTTGAGCGAATAGTAAAATAGTGTGAATATAAGTGTTTGCTTATGAAGGAAGAAAAATGTGCAGGACTAGAGTTAGTACTGTATTTGCAGTTAGATAAATAGCTATTGTAATCAACAATAGACTTTATTTTAAAAAATGCCCGATTATGATAGAATATATTTTCATATTAGTTGCTATGAATTTGTAGCACTAAAAATGTATTTGCTTAGTTTTGATTAATTATCAATTTTCTTTTAATGATTTGTTTTATTTTCTTTTTTCTTATTGATATTATCTGTACATTTGCTATTGACATAGTTTTAGTAAAAAAAAAAACAAGATTTGTTGAATGGTATTGTTCATATACATATATATTTTAAGTAATACACACATTTTGTAAAATAGCCCAATATAACAATGGCATCAATGGCAACACTTGGATCTAATTTGCCATCGGGTATAGCTGGACAGTTATATCCACAAGTTGCTACTGTTTCATACCCAACACCAAGAGCATTAAATACAAATGCATTTCAACCTTCTGTAGCTGGTGTTCCACAGCAGGTACAACAAAATGTACCTTCATCATCCACCAAACAGAGAGTTTTTACTGGCACAGTTACCCAAGTATATGATAATTTTGGTTTTGTTGACGAAGATGTGTTCTTTCAAACAAAGTAATGAAATTAAAATATAGATATGATTATTTAATGGCTTTATTTATAAAAAACGTATATTACATATAATTATTTAATTTTAGTGCATGTGTCAAGGGATCTAATCCAGTTGTGGGAGATCGTGTACTTGTGGAAGCATCATATAATCCATCCATGCCATTTAAATGGAGTGCTACAAGAATACAAGTACTTCCTATGGGGAATAACAATAATAATTCTAATACACCACAAAATAATCAAACTACTCGACAACAACAACAACAACAACAACAACAGCCACAACAAAATCGAACCTCTGGAACATACAATGCAGTACCCCCTCCAACTGAAAATCCTAATAATAGGTTAATAATAAAAATTTCTGTGAAACTATTTTTTATTTATAATGAAACATGTGCAGAATAACTAAATATATCAATGTTACTAGATTTACAACTAGTGTGGCCAGTGCGAGCACAGTTAGTAATCGTAACAAAGTTGGTAGAGTGAGGGAAAGATCTCCTCGAGAGCGAAAAAATGAAGAAGATGAGATTGAGAGGAAAAGACGTCGCGAGGAAAGAATTAGAGAGCGTGAGAAAAAAGAAGAACGCAGTCCATCAAGGACAAGAAGAAGTAAATCTCCTAGACCAAGAAGACGTACCAGAGTTGTACCTCGTTATATGGTACAAATACCAAAAATAGCACTTGACTTGTGAGTACAATTTTTATGTATTATGATAAAACTTCTATTATATTTCTACATAATTCTGTTTAATGTATGTCTGATATACTAATTTTAGGCCCGAAGCTGATGTACTTGAAATAAGAAGGCGTTATCAGAATATGTATATTCCCAGTGATTTCTTTTCTACCAACTTTCGTTGGGTTGACGCTTTTCCACCACATATGCCATTTGCACTCAATAAACCATGTTCTTTTCATGTTATGCACAAGGATGTTGATCCTTGTTCTGAAAACGTAGCAGTGCTAGAACCTTCTGATGCTGATTACATTTTTTCTGCAAAGGTCTGTTATACTATATTATAAACAATTTGATTCCAAACAAGATAATTTTATAAAAATTACGAACTGTTTTATAGGTTATGTTGATATCCATGCCTGCTATGGAAGAGATATATAAACGGTGTTGCGGTGTATCTGAGGATAGAGATCCTGATCGCGATTATGTGCATCCAACACGTTTAATAAACTTCTTGGTAGGCTTGCGTGGCAAAAATGAAACAATGGCTATTGGTGGGCCATGGAGTCCTTCATTGGATGGTCCTAATCCTGAAAAAGATCCATCAGTTCTGATCAGGACAGCAGTGAGGACTTGTAAAGCACTTACGGGAATAGATCTATCCAGCTGCACTCAGTGGTACGACTCTTCAGATATTGACAATTCCTTTTATTTCCAATATAATTTGAGAAATACTTAAAGGAAAGAGAAACGTGAGCTTATCTAGTATCTGTGTCCGTTATTCTTTCATTGTTCGTTGGCACATTATCGAGTTATATTAGTAGAATTTAAATTTCCATCTTATAAAATTTTGAACTTTTAACTCGTCGATTCAGTACCGTGCACATGTATAATGCACATATTTATATTAAAAACATGAGATAGTGTTATAGCTTTAAGAAAAATCCAGCAGGTGTATCAACCATAACAGAAAGTAACTTCTAATACGAGTTCTGACTTGATAAACTAAGGTTGTAGCTCAATCTCTACAGAGGAGGTATGTATGTGTTTTATACACGATCGACCGATGGAGATTGCTGAACTGGACCCTGTATCGAGGCACCCAGATGATATTATACCATGCAGTTGTGGCAGAGACGGATCATCACTATTGTTCTGTTATCGTTATGACCCACTCAGTCGTGCTTTATCAAATGGTCTCTACATTGTACGCTGTGTGTGGCTTTGTATGCAGTGTGTGGGCTTTACGAACAAGCGAGCGAACGAACACTTAGCATATAAGGCAAAGCTAAGCGGGATTAACCTGAGTTGACGTTTGGGTATTGTTTTTCCTTGCGGCACAGGTATCGCTTCCTGGAACTCTACTACAGACGTGCAGAAACGACCCACAAGTCAGGGCGAGTGGTGCCCTCTCGCGTTGAAACCGTCATACTATTTCTCCCAGATGTTTGGAGCTGTGTACCTACCAGATTGGAATGGGATGGCCTGCAACTCAGCTATAAGAAACAACTGGAGCGAAAATTGCTACGTGCCGCCTCTAACCCCGACGATTCGGATGCTACCAATGACACTGATGAGGCTGCCGTCGCTGATCAAAAGGCACTGCCAACATCATCCCATATTACTTTTACCTTTTTATTACATTATATAATCGTGCAATTGTTTTCCCATTACTAAACTGGATTTTCAATAGGCTCTACTTGCTCATTGATTCTATATTAAAAAAGTCTGTTCTTCCTGTGGCTTTCATTATTCAAAATAGCTTTAAAAATAGATTTCAATAATTTCTATAATATACTTAGTACATTACTGATTCCTAATATTTGAATAATATACTTTCACAGTTTTCGATTAGCTTTTCTTTAGAAAACAGTATCATTATAATTCGTATATTATTTTATATATTCATGTACATGTACGTAACTGTCTTGTTCAATATGATATATTCATACTATATGATCTTCATATTAAACATATTAACAATCTGAGGATTTATTCTTTTTATGTGTGAAAAAGGTATCATATATCTAATAATTGCAAAACGATTGTATTGGTTCAGGTCATAATATTTAAGTATTTGCTTAGAAAGATCAATGAGTAATGTATTGCAAGTATTTTCTTAGCCACTGGCAGTCACATTGCATTAACAAGAGAAGCAAGCAAGCCTAGCTCGGAGAAGAGCGCAGCTGAGCCATTCCCTTTCCTGAAACCTTCACCATCATTGATTAAATCATTCAAAAATTTCATTTGATATAATCGTTGTATACAAGATTATTGATATTATCCATAACCTACCAACCATACAGACACCAGAGCCAGGACACTATGAGAATCTAGCAGTTACTTGAGTCATACTTGAAGGTCATCGTGAATGAAGATTCGTGTATATCATTACAATGTGAGAGAGTGGTGGTAAAATAGAGAGTGATGAAAGAATGAAGAGGGAGTGGTTTCGTTTCGTTATAGGGGCTGCTTCTGTTTTGTAGTTTCCTATCGTTTTCTTTACTTCTGTAACGTAATGGGTGGTTTTTTCTTTTCAGGATGATCCGGTGCCCGAGAAAAAAGATCCTACTCATTACTCAGAGCTGGACCCAAAATGCATGAATGTCAGTTTCTATTTTACTATAAGTATACCTAGATCTATTTGTATTTACCTATAAATACGTATCTCTTTTATGCAGGTGAATGATTTAAGACAAGAATTAGCTGCTCGTAACTTAAATTGTAAAGGCTTGAAGTCGCAGTTACTTGCAAGACTATCGAAGACAATAGCATCAGAACAGGCCAAAGAAGAAGGAAGGCAAGATGATATGGAAGAAACTGAGAAAGACATTTCGCCACCGCCAAAAGAAGATGATGACAAAAAGTTCAGAGATAGTAAAGATGTAAGATTCTGCTTGAATTCGCAATAGATCTCATAGTAATTAAAAATCATACTTAAGGAGTATGACCAACTTGGCGGCCTAGAGAAATACCTATATTTAAAAAGAAATGAGAGACAAGTCACTTAAATTTCGATTACTTCTTATGAACTACAATTAATGCAAGTATGTAAGATAATACATGATAATTTCTCTATTCTCAGATAAATTATTATGTTCTAATTAAAATTGAATATTCTGTTTATTTCTCGATGCCCCTCGTACTTTAATTTGTCTTATGTATTAAATTAATTTGATATATTGATGTAATCACAGCATGATGAAGATCGTAAGAAATTGTGTGAACGTGAACGTATTGCCCTAGAAAAGCGATATACTTTACCAGAATCGTCTCACATTGTCGTACATCCTTCAAGAATGGCTAAAAGTGGCAAATTCGATTGTACTGTAATGTCTTTAAGTGTATTATTGGATTACAGACCAGAAGATACAAAGGTACTGTATACATCACTTTATTCCACTTGACATTTTATGTTCACGTGAAAAACAATTACTGTTATTTGTTTTTAGGAGCACTCCTTCGAAGTATCATTATTTGCGGAACTCTTCAACGAGATGCTGATGAGAGATTTTGGTTTCCGTATTTATCGAGCACTGTGTAGCCTTCCTGAAAAGCCTAAAGAAAAGGACGATGATAAGAAGAAAGATAAAAAAGATGACAAGAGAGATGAAAAGAAAGATGATAAAAGGAAAGATGAGGAGAAAAAGTGTGGCAGAAAAGATGAACGCAAAGATGATAGAAGAAGAGAAGGAAGCAAGGATAAGAAAGATGAGAAGGATGCAAGAAGTAAGGCAGACGATAGAGATCGTGAAAAAGACAAAAATGATGATGATGACGACGATGATGAAGATGAATCCGATGACGATGATTCAATTAAAGATGGCAAAAAAGATAGAGACAAGGATGGGAGAAAGAGAAAGACAAAGTTGCATACACACGATCCTTATCTTTTACTGTCATTTGTATATTTCGATCAAACCCACTGTGGTTACATATTTGATAAAGATATAGAGGAACTTATTTATACCTTAGGATTAAATTTATCCAGAGCACAAGTTCGTAAGCTAGTACAAAAAGTTGTGACAAGGGATTCGTTGCATTACCGCAAATTAACTGATAGATCAAAGGAAGATGATTCTAAAGAAGAAAAGAAAGATGAGAAAGAAACTGATAAGAGTGAATCCTTTAAGTCCGAAAGTGAAGAAGAGATACTGCGTTCTCTAGCACTCGGTATGCAGTTTACACTTCTTTTAATTTGCATATCTTCCATAACTCATCTTGGAGTTATGATCATATTAATAAAAAAAAAATTAAGCAGAATATTAATATTTTCTTATTTATCAATAGGAAATAAAAAATTATTACCTGTATTTGTCGGAAGCGGGCCACCTTCGAAGAGAGCACGACGAGAAAACACGCTTGCAGAGCATTTGGAAGAATCAACCATACCTGAAGGTTACGTCATGTACAAAGGTTCTTTGCTAGATGTAGAAAAGCTTGTTAGTCAATTGAAGAGATCAGAAAAGGCTCGTTTGGACACTGAAGAACGGATGATGGAATTGCAGCACGAGCTAACAGTGGTGAATGATAAATCTATGAAACAGTCAAGTAATATTAAGGTTCTGTCTGAAGATTTGAAAATGTATAAAGACAAATTAAAGAGTACGGATGAAAAGCTAAAGAAAGCATCAGTAAGTATTTAAATCTTTCAACGTAGTGAAATTTTGTTTTGATAATAAACCAGTAGTGAGAAGTAAGAAGACAGATTGATTAAATATTTTTATGAGATAGCGTATATCATTTTTTTTTTCGAAAACTACATGCAAAAAGATTTTGATTGTGTGCTTTCTTTTTTTCAGACTGAATGCCATACGTACCTCACCGCCGTAAAAAATATGTATCATATAGCTGCGAAAATGATGCAGTCAGATACAAAGAAAGTAGAGATTGTAGAAATACAAGACGAGAAGATAAGTGAAATAAATGGATCAGAAGGTGAAAATAAGTATAAAACAGATACAAGATGGGGGGACACTAAAACAATAGTAAAAAAAGAAATTGCGGAAACAGATAAGGACAAGAAATGCGACATTAAAGTCTCAATTAAAAAAGAAGTTACAGAATCCGATAAAGAGAAAAAGTAAAGAAAATCACAGTTTTGATTAAAGACGTAAATGCACTGGTACAAAATTCGAATTATTATAACAGCGGAAGATAAAGGGGGAAGAATTTTATTATGAAAGTAGAATGAGCTCCAAAGATTCTGTTTTATAAATTTTTTCACTCTCTGGCACTGTCTCTGTACGTATTATAATACGTACAATTAGGAACAATGTGATGCGTTCTGAGAAAACTAAGTGATATTACATTACTCAAATGTACCTATTAGAATCATTATATTGCAGTTTTTCACGTGAGTGTGTCAACTTTTTCGTAGATAAAACAAAATTCATAAAATTACCCAAAATGCAACTCAGATTTACTATAAAATGACAGATGCTGATAGACAGTGAATAAGATCACATTGAATATTGTCATTTGGCTAATTAAGTTTTTAAATTTCTACCAAATTTCTAGGTAAACTTAATTATTGACATGAACACTTAGCATTTGATTTATTACTATACTACTTATCACAATTAGCTGTGATTTATTGGGAGATATTTGTTTCCAGAGAATGATTTTCATTTAAAATTATGAGTCTGATTTTACTTTTCGTGCGAGTTATAAACGTCATTTTTACGATTCTAAAATGACTTTAGATAAATTTAATTTCTCATGGTTATTCATATGTTTGATGCTAGCAATGTGTTTGTATTATGCTGTAAGTGTATTTATTGTTTTGTACACAGAAAACAGAATAACGAAATAAAAGTTTTACGCAATATGTATAACACCAAACATAAATTGAAAGAGTGACAATTGATTTATGGGATATCGTCAGCATTGTTTATCTATAACCACTGTAAATAGCTTGAAATGGTACCTAAGGATAACTTCAACACCAAAATATCTGTATAAACGGTTTAATTTGATATGTATAAAGCACAATAATCTTATGACAAAACTGTTATATGAGGTTTTCGTTAATCCATGTTCCAACAAGTTTCACAAAGAGTAAAAATATAGAAAGATGGGTGCTCATGATGTCCCTCATTTAGAATTCATGTTACTCATTATGTGAATAGAAAATGCCCCGCATATGCGATACAAAAAATTCGTTTTACGCGTATGTGTTCTATTCGCAAATAGTACACAATTTCACATTGTTTTGTACATAATGATCTATAATAATGAATAGTTTTTTGTGTTTATTATTAGAACATTGCATTGTCAGCAAGTCACTAGTACGTTAAGAACAAATTGTAACATTTTTTCTTGGCGATCAGTTCCTTGAAATATGACGACATACACAAAAAAATAAATTTTGAACACTCTGTGGAATTATTTTGATCACCCTTGTACATATATATTTAGAAGTAAATATGCATATACATTTGTTATTGTTTTTATTATTTTCTTTACATATGCAACGTTAAAATCATTTACATACATTATTTTATTTACTCAGTCACCGATTTATTAATTTTTTATGACGATATCTAATTCTTTTTTTAACCTAAATATGATATTTATGAAAATACATTTTTAATTCATACGCGCTAAATCCATTTTATATACATTATGGACCAAATGCATTGAATAATTTTCTTGCAGCAAAGAAATAATGTAAGAAACACTTAAAAGCTGATTGGAAGATGTAATATTAAGGAAAAAATGTAAAAAATATAACGTATTAATATCTATTGATTAATTCGAAAAAAAAAACAAAAAAAGAATTTAGGGAGCAAACAAAAGATTTAGTATGTATATCAAAGAATCTTATTTAGTTTTATTTTAGTTTCAAAGTGTGTATTTAATAGTCTATTCCGTGTTTTCAACAAATTTTACGAAGTTTTGTGGGATGTTTCTTGTGTTGAATAGGTGGTGTGGGATGTACATACCTTGGAAGGTGAGTATTCATGATGGAGGAAACGTGACGGTGACAAAATGCATCATCTAATTAAAAATGATTGAAATCGACCACTGGGTTATTTACGATCTTGAATGAAAAAAATGCTACTGTGCGCAAACAAAAGTTTTGTGAACCTTAGTTCTATATAAAATGTTTCAATAAAATCTATGGAAGAGGAGTAAAGGTGTGTTCGGGTACCCGCGAAATTCATCGGGTCGGAAGTTCGTAAAGTTCGGGCACCCAAAAGAAAAGTTGGGTCAGTCGGGACCCCGAAAAACTGTAATGTTTGTGTATTCGAATCTAATAAAGGCGGTTTCGGCAATATCGTATAGTTAGAAACTTTTTAATAACAATAAATGTGATGTTTCTTAATGATTTTTCAACTAAATTTTCCACATAAATTTTCAAATTTGCATAGATCATTGTATTTTATATTTGTTATAATGAAATATAAACTAAAGGAAGTGAAGCAGTTCATGATAGAAAATGTGAATATTATTTTATTTTCAAATTGGCATGAAGAAAACAAGTGTTTTCGGGATCCCGACTTCACGGGAAATTTCGGGTACCCGCATACCTCTAGTAAACACATTTTTAATATTATATGAATTATAAAATATAATCTTTTAGCTTTGATAGCGTTTAACGTAGGTACTACCATGGTAAACGCTAACACCATCGCTTAGTCTAAAGATCATGCATCAGACTATGTTCGTTTGCGTGATATTTTTATTCCACTAAATGTTTGTTCAGTTACAACGTTAAAAGATTTGTTTAAAATTTCATTTAAACAATGACTACTTTTAGTGATAAGCGACCGAGATCGTTGAGAGCGTTGCAGGTACCATAACTATATACAGACGACTGAGATCAAAAGTCAGCGTATAACCGGAAAATGCGAGCGTATCAAAAAGCATTCGTTCCGATAGCTCTTCTCTAAAATTATAGTAATCTACGATCGCTCGAATCTGTTACTTGTAACAGCGTTGTTTTTCAAAAGTAAAGCTGGTTTTACCTTCACGAAGCATTTCGAGTAACGAAACCGTTTTACATAACTTCCACAAGTCCACGAATATTAAAAAGGGGAAGAGATCGCAAAAGGACTGTCAGTCGTAATCGTTATCAAAAAAGGGAAGCTGAAAGGAACTTGCTACCATCCCTTAATTTTTCTCTGTCGACTCTTAATTGGGTCTGTTCTCCTCGTAATATCAATAGTTTCTCTGTACGCTTTTCATTTTTCATTACAGGACATGTGTCTATTTTCTATGAAGTTCAGAAACTACAATGTTCAGATACAAGTAGCCTAGTACCAAATGATAAATATTAAAGGGCACTTTAACAGCACGTACAATTAGTTTTAATAATTTTATTTAACAGTCATTTAGCTCCTTTAACTATCTTTATATTAGCGGATCGTTTATTGGGGTCAGAGCGATTTCGGTAAACGTTTGGAATGCGTCGTGCGCCAATGAAAATTAGGATCTTTTATACTTCTCATTGTACTTTTAAGAAAGCTTCACCGATAGATTCCCGAGACTTTCCTGATGAAAATCAGTCCAAATACGACCTCAGTCGAAGTGTTCCACTATGCATAATCTAACTTGAAACAATGTAGAATAATCACATAATAATATAAGAATAAGCACAATACGCATCATCAAAAATCTGTTGAATAACGTTATTGTGCGTTAACGGTAGTCGCATTGATGTTGATGTATCTGTGATACATGTTTGGAGTTGATCAAATTGCGAGTGACCATTTTACTTACTCTTGTTGCCATCGTGAAGCAAAAAGGTTGTAACATTGTACAGGGTGTCCAGAAATATCCTCTGTGATCATAAAGAGGTTTGCCATTCGGATGAGAAACTTTGAGAAGTGAGGGACTTTATTTGTAAAATAAAAATTTCAAAAATTTTCATCCGTGCCATCTTGAATTTTTGCACGATCTTTTTTGCAGAATCTAGCAGAACACGTACTTGCGATAAAATTCTTTCGGTTACAGACATTTTTATTACTAACTTTTTCCATGGAGAATGAAATTTATTCAAAAGTGTACAGTTTTCACAAATATGAAATTTTTTAAAAAAATATTTTGTTTTCTTTTTAATCTAAATTCTTTCTCAAGACATGTACAATGAAAACTATATTCCAAACTTTCTCTAAATACACACCTAATAAATAGCACATTCCAGAAATTTTACACACCTTAAATTTAAACCGTTAAAAATAAGGTGATCACAAAATTCTTTTTAAAAGGATAACTTAGGATAATTTAGCATATATTCAATCTGTTGTACAAATGAATGTAAATAAACACTTATGTACCCATTTGTAGTCACAGAGGACACTCTACACCTTAATATGTACACCTAGTACATTGTCACCGATTCTCATCTAGACTCATAATAAGAAAAAATTGGAAAACAGATCTTACACTTTTTGAAGTCGCAAGATGTGTGCAATTGCGACCTTTACATTACAGAAAGTTAGCCACTTCAGAGATTTTGAGACCAAAGAGTTCTATACAGTTGCTTGACACGTTAACTATCAGATTGCTCATACCTGTGTGATACAGTTCTTTATCCGAGCACAAAAGTGAGGTTCTGTTATGATATGTGTAATCTGCAGACCATTACAGTTTATAGGATCTAAAAAGGTTGAAAGAGTAATCACGGTGGTGAATTGCAACTTTTCAGTTCCGGTTTTATTAACTGAAACGTTTAATTTTGTGGGATATTTCTGGGCGGTGGGTCGATAGTCAACGTGCTAAGCTATAAGTAAAATGCGGTTTATGATCTCGAAGAAACCAAAGAGAGCAATGGTTGATTAATTAGCGCTGCCGCTGGTGCGCACTTTCAAGATTACGTTATATTGTCACGTTGACATAATTAAAAACACTGATACATTGAGATAGTAAAGCCAGTGGTATTATAAGTTTAGATCCCAATAGAAATGATTTTGTCAGTAAGGTAGTATACAGCAGCTTCCTTCTGAATTGATTTCTCTGTACGGATTTTTAGGACGGTTTTATATTCGAGAACTTATGTTGACCCGGACCAACGAGAAGAGCTTCTATTTTATAGTTCCTATATATTTTGTCTTCAACTTGAATAGCAGGGCGCAGGATGTAAAGAAATATTGTTTTATGGCTTTTGTAGATAATACTACTACATCTGACAGAAAATATTCGATCGAAATTCTAATATATGGTTCTTGAGAGAATTATATGTATGTATATATATACGTGTTAATAGAAAACAAAAAAAGAAATATTGTACATACAACTAAATATCTCTGTGAGTCATTGTAATGAAAAGATATACCTTTTATGTAGTTTAAATGGTTTTAACATATTTCATTTTTAATTGCATCGTGTAGCTGATAAAAAAATACATTTATACATGTATAATAAATAACATTACTTTGAATTGACCTTGGTCTCTAAAAATTTGGATTCTATGTAAAATTTATGTCAATTATATTGTACACCTTGTAGACATTTTGTAAATTGAGATAACACTACAGGAAGTAACTATAATTTTTATTAATTATTAATTATTATTTTTATTATAAATTGTAGACTCATTCGTAAAAGCCACAACAATATTCCTTTTCACCTCGTGCGTGCTAAAATAAAAAAATGCAAAGACAGAAAAATTGTGCTACGACCTATTCGTGCCAATGTAATGTCAGTTGTACGACGATTTGTGCGCTTTCCGTTCTCTTGCGTGCATCTGTTCTCGCTGACCTTTTTGACGATCTAAATCGTTGATGAACAGATTCGTAATTCCGGATTAACGAAACAATAGTAAAAACCTGGTTCGCGTCGTTTCAACGCCGATCGTGAGTACAATTCAAGAGATTCCAAGTATCGTGAACTGAAAGAATTTAATAGCACCAAATATGATCTTACTAATAAACAATGGGATAAATTACAATTAAGATAAGTATAAAAAAAATGTACAAGTATGAAATTTACAATGCAGTCAAGTGTACAAACAAGAGCTCCATGTAAACGTCGATTTAGGAGTACCTCAATTGCCTTGTCCCACAAAAATCATTACCCGAAACTGTATGTGCTGCTGCAATTTATGTCGAGAATATTGTAAACTGTCTCTTAAGTCGTGCCATCGAGAGTCAGTGAGTAGATTTTTGTCTTTCCTTTCTCCTTTTTTACTAATAATATTCCTCCGTTATCACAGCCGTGAATTCTAACAAATATTTCTAGTCTTTTCTGATTCCATAAATGGATTTCACAATGTAACAATAATTGTTGTCCAATTCTTATATAGATTTACTGATAGTTTAATATTATTTCTCACTGTCGATAAAGTAATATTACTTTGATCACTACAAAGCCATAGCTATCTTAAACAAATTTCTGTGAATTTCTAATAACTTTTTAATTTCTAACAACGCAACAGGATCTACAATGTATGCTTTATTGTTTTTTGAAAGAAGAGATCTGAGATTTATTGACAAACCACCCCCAAGACAGTGGAATGCACAGCTTGTACGATAAATGTTGTACCTCACTCTTCTTTCCAAAGACAATATATAAATCGTTTAAAATACAATTTATATTAACACTTATTTTCAAATTTTAAGACGTTCCTTTCCATATCTTTCCACTCTCTGTCTTTCAATGGCTTGACCTTGACATCGTGATTTCTTCGTCCAAGTACTTGGGTTCAATCTGTTCAGGTTCCAAAACTCGTTCTGCCACTTGGAAGTCACAAGACTGGACGCATTTCAAGTATTTCATTTTGGGTAAAGGCAGCTTTGAATTCCGGAGCCTCGCGCCCAGAGTTAGCAACTCTAACTTTAGTTGGATACGTCCTTCTCTTGAAGCTTGAATTGAATTTATAGTATGCTATGTAGACTTTTTGATAAAATACTTCCTGATATAAAATACGTCTGATCAAAAATCATTTGTAATGCTACAATTGTACATTCTTCGAAATTCCCACAACTCGCCACGTGCGACAAGTTAATGAACGTCATAAAAATCACGCTAATTGGACGCGTACAAAAGTACGTAAATTGAAAAGATCGTATATAACTAGTTTGGGTTCGTGCTTTCTTTCGGATGTTCCTAAACGTCCACGCAGCATTTTACAGAGGTGAATCGATAGTTACATTTGCGATATTTTATTCTTAAGATTGAAACGTATAAAATCAGAGAGTATAAGAGTTTGTACGATCTGAAATATTTTACAAAGCTTAGTATAAAAATAACGTATATTTTTGTACGTGATTTTCTATTCAATATGTATAAAACTACTACACACAGCAATACTTGGTAAATGAGCGGCAATATTCAATCGTTACGTATAGAGTACAATAATGAAGACACTTTTTCAAATAAAATAATATACATTTTTTAAGTACAATCTTTCTTTCCTACATATAACAGAATTTTTAAGTACACTATCATTTGATGACAAGTTATTGGAACATTATATATATATATATATATATAATATTATATTAGCACACGTCGAATATTGCCTTGCTTTTATATTTGCCAGATTATCTCCAATTCCAAAAGTTTCAACTTCACGTCTGTAAAACATTTTATGGTCCGTGCGTTTCTGAGCAGAGCAAAGAGTTAACCCAAGCGTGCTACGCGTAAAAATGGTATCCAACTAATGCCGAGGTTACCAACTCTGTCGAATATAGTAATCACTCTGTTTTATTTATAAACCGCTGCCGAGCACGTGAACTCGACAATCGTTCCGGGAACTACGAAGTCCGGTCGTGAAGAGATGGTGTATGGGATGCGCGGGTAATTACTCGATGGTGACATCCCTAATCAGTGCTGCGGACTTATACGTATAACCGTTGGCTTGCACATCACCGGCTAAAGGACTGGCTTTCCCGTTCACGATATTGAACATGCAGCTTTGCCTTACGCTTTCTTCAAACCGATCCGCTATAAATTGTAGACGTGTATACGTATGCGTATATACATGATATATCATCTGACATTCTCCTTTACGAGTGTCACGTAAGTTGTCTGTATAAATATTCAATTACATTCATTTTTATGGTCGACAGATACAAGGTCAGAATTTCCGGAATATACAAATAGGCTACTTCTAGAGGACTGACTGCTCGTGCAGATTCACCGGCAAGATTGATCGATCACCGTCGATCGGACAGGTCGGTTGGGGGATGAAATTGTACACCAACTCTCGACGACCGGACCTTACTCATTATTAGTCGCGTGTTGACCTCGCTTGCCTTTCAGCAACTTTTGCGAGCCTTGCGTTTGCGAACGGAGCTCTCTTCCGAGTTCAGGTGGCGGTCCCAATCCCTACCCGTGCTTCTTTGCATGCTGTTAGAGTAGTTTTGAAAGGGTCCAGTCTATCCTGCACCTCGCTCATGTTACGAGGACTTCTGGCACTATTCGGTTCAGCGGGTAATGTCGAGCGTTGTCGATCCCAGGAGTCACTCCAGCTGCAAATCAAATCACAGACGTTTGCGTCGATCAGAAATTTGTTATTAAAATGATTCAGTGAATGTGCTAACGATATCGACGCGTTCGTTGCTGCTTTCGTCGATCGGGGTGACCGTGAATCTATTTTACAGACCTAGGGTATGGCACTTATTGGCAGCCATCAGATGATTTTCTTATGGTTTCGCAGTTTGTAAAAACAAAAGTGTGAAGAGAGTTTTTAATAGTTGCTATTTTAAATGAACTATGAAACATTTTCAAAAATATGACCGGATAAGGATTAGTTGTAGAAAGCTACAGTTTCAGTAGTTAGAAAAGTTAGAAAGTTACAGTTGTTAGAAAGTAACAGTTTCAGTTAGCATAGAACTTGTAAACGTATTGTTTAAATTTTCTTGACAGCCTCACTCAGATAAAAAAGTTCAAGAACGTAACTTTTACATTTTTCTGTCATTCCAATCAACTGCGCTATTTGCATAAATTGATTTAGACATTGTCTAATGAACCAGTTCATCGAATATTAAAAACAAGATCCAAATCGATTGTTTCAATTTTGGAAAAGTTATACCGTTTTAAAAAATGTAGACTCAGTTTTGCTCCTCACTGTAACTATTGGATAAAGTAGAAAACGAGATTATTCGTGCCATATCGTAAGCTTGCTACGTTTTCCCTACTTTCATCGATAGCCATTATGTTTCTTTCAAGTACATCATGTACTTTCCTAATGCAACAAATTTTAAAGAATTTAGAATTTGTATCAGTGTAGTTGTTGTCTGAGAACTTGGGAGACGGAATAAAGAAATAACAGAGTTCTGAACGAAAATAATGGCATCAAAAATCATAAGGGACTCGAGGTTCTGTACTACTTCTCATATACTACTTTCTGTTATAATATACATACATATGATGTGGTATTTTGCAAATGTGTCAACTATTTACAAAGGTGTGAATGAGAAGTTCGACATGATTTATTGAGTTTATGAATGAATTATTTGCTTAGGTAGGAATTATACGTGACGCATAAGATATGCTGACCATCAAAGAAGGTTTATAGAATGTATTTATGGCTATTAACTATTACTAGTGAACCGACCGACAAAGCAAACGAACAGGGGCACTAAATATTAATGAGGAAGAACAACAAAAAGCGATCAATTCTCGGTACAACAACGTGATTGTGCAGAACAAGTTACTGTTTGGTAAAAATAAATTTTGTTATTCGTTATATCCGTGTTTATTAAAAACTGTTCTTTTTTAATAACTGTCTTTTTATCTCTAAACTGTCTTTTTTTTTATTAAAAAGACTGCAAGTGGCTTCTTATTAACTACAGTCATGTGCATTCGCAATGAACCATAAGTAATTTTTTAGAATCAAAACACGTCTACACTTGCAACCGTGTTTATTTGTTACGATCTAATGATATTAAAAGCAGCTCTAATTAAAGTTTCTATTAATAAACAGTTTCGTCAATACGGCAGAAATTTCACGAAAAGATAAAAATAATTTTATTTTATTTGATTGATAATATGTTCTGCTGTTTATTTTGTTGTATGATTTTTGGAAATAATGAAATATTGAATAATGAAATGGAGGGTGACGAAAAATATACAATCGTGAAATCATGATCTTTCAACAGCTGAAAAGTTTGGTAGGAAGAGTAGAGAAATAGGAACTAAATTGCAATGAATGAATCGATAGTGTAATATGATTTTGCAGGGTTTCTATAGTTAACCGTTTGCGAACGAACATCATTAATTTTAGTAAACTTCATCCGTGGCAGAATGTTGTTATGCTACATTTTATTTCAATATTTAAAGATAAAATAATAATTTAAATATTATTCTCAAAAATTACTTTATTAATAAATGCTAAAAAAACGAACATAAAATTTAATAATAAAAGACTAATACACAAGTATAATCTTCAAATACTTTTACGTAAATTTGAGAATTACGAGAATTCAATTTTGAGCAATGGTAGTGGAACTAATGTTAAAACCTTGGAGTTTCTAAAAGCTATTATCACGCAGTTTTGTAAATGTAAAAAAAGATGCAAAGTTTATGTCATAAATATCTTGAGACCGTAAGAAATGTATCACATAAAGTATTATATGTATAAATATATGTCGTCACTTGTGAACGTCTTTTTTCGCAAAGGGTTGCATAGTGAACTATACGAAACTAAAAAAATATTTTAGCAATCAACTTACCGTACATGGCTATCAAAAGCAGCATGAAATATTGTTAATCGTAAATCTATTATAATCTTCAAACAATGGTTCAGGAAAAACTATTTACTTTTAGTTTCTTTTACTGATCATACAGATTTATCTATTCATACTACATGCTAGGAGAATCAGTATGTTAATAACGTTAGAACTTCATGGAGACACGTTCGAAGCGGATTTTACACTTTTCAATCTATTTTCAATCTATATATTATTAAGACCGATATTATGGTTGTAATGTGAAAACAGTTGAAATCTTAAATTTTATTAATTCATATATGTATTTTTATTAGGGCTTGCAATCGAATCAGAAACTTCGAATAACGAAATTTTGCATTAACAAGATAAGATGACAAGAGAAAAGTTAATTTAAGATTGAACAAATCAGTTGAAACATGACACTTGAAGCTACTTATAAAACTAAGACACTTATAAAACGATTACTGTTTTTCAAACGGGTGAATAACACTTCACATTTTATTTTCATAGTTACATTAGCACTGTGTAATCACAAAAGTAAGCGTATGCAAAAATGTATTAATATATCGGTATAATAGTTGTTCATTATACACACATTTATAATATACTATTGTATTGTAAGTTATAATATCCAAACACAGACGCGAATGTCTTGTCACGTAATTTCACCACACTTTGCACAACATTGACTAGAACAATAGCTGATATTGTAAGATTCGCTCACAAACCCCAAATAGAACAGAAGATTGTTACGTTCGTACTTATATTGTAGAATTAGTGTACTATGTATATACATTTAGAAGCAGTAAAAACGATTAGACGAATCAGCAAAAAAGGAATTAAACAGAGAAAGATTATTATACCGTTCTAACATGCAAAAGGAACTAGAAGCTTTCCTATCGAACAATTAAATAAGTGATCTTGATGTAGAAAAGATGCATGAATATAAGAGCATTGAATGCAGAAAGAAGTAGGTATCCCAATATTAAATCACACACACTGACGGACTCTACCTTCCCGATCCTGAAGCTGTCTCGCATGGAATCACCAAAGTTAGGTAAATGACCAGAGCAGCAAAAACAACAGGTTATTTATGACAAACTTTTGAACGAAACATTAGATTATAAATATGTGATATGTCATGAGTTTTATTCGGGAAATTAATGGCAACTGATGTAATTATCGTTACTCGTATTATTGCGGTTTCGAGACAGCAAATATAATATATGTTAGTCCTTTTCTTCGTTACAAAAGTACTGTTCAAGCGACCGAATAATAGAATCTTTTGAAGAAAAATCTTAGGAACACGTAGTTAGCAATGTAGTGGCGACACACTGCCGTTTCGCACAATAAAAATCATCAGATACCGCAGATAGAAATGTAAAAATATTTTCTAAGATTTTTCTGCGAAATTAGCAACGTTCTTATATGTTGACAGTATTACAAAATCAAATTATGATTAAGTAGAGTGTACGAGTGAGATCAAATAAAAAAAGTCTCACCTAACTACAGGCCCCATAACACCGTCCCTAGGTAGTGTTTGTAGGAGTGATGTACCTGCAGATCCTGGGCGTGTCTGTGCCCATAATTAAACATATTATAAATAAACAATGTGAGAAAAGTAACGAAGTAATACGAAAAGATAGAAGAGGTTGACTGCGATGTGTGTCATAGAAATCAAAAGTGTACATGTAATCGAACACATTCTGTGGAATAATATTGTGAGGTGGAGAGAAGTATGGGGTATATCGGTGTGAAGCAACTAGTAATTATTGCTTTCCATTATCTAGTCACTAGTGCAGTGATAAACTAGTGTCGTTTTACGTCTGTGTATTTTGCCAGGAAGCGAAAACAAGGAATAATCTTGTGATCATTATTCAAACCATAGTCGGAACAAACATAATCAGCAAGATGAAAGGAAAACATTCAACAATAACTTTCCGATTATTAAATTCCTCTTACTAATCAGTGAACTGGAATAATTACGAGATATTAAGACGGAAATATACCTTGTCAGTTTGTGTTGCAGCATTGCAAGTGTCCATGCATAAGATAGTGTTACGACTATTGGTTATAGCACAATTTTGCCTTTCATTGTTGTTAGGGCCTTGAAGCTTCGACATTTGGAACTACGACAGAAGAAAATTTTCTTTTTTCAAGTTTATTGTTTGACGAATATTGTGGTAAGAGAATATTTTCAAAATTTTTTAATAAACTACAAAGTTATATATATATATATATATATATATATATATAATTTAAAAATTCAATCACTTAGAGATCTTGCACAAAAAGCAGATCTCAAAAACTCTCCACCCATTCAATTTTTATACATTAGTCTTTATAAGATTATCTATAATGGTGTACAACAATTTTGATGTTTCAACTCATCAGATTTTTATAAATTTTTAAATTTGCTATTTTTCAGCGAAAAAGAGTTCTGTCCTTGATGAGTCCCTATCTTTTTATTCTTCTAAATTACGAAACATTGTATATTATACTTAGAATAATTTATTATTAATTTAATTTATTGAATATTGAACTTCGGTTAAATACTATTATGTTTTAAGCCTATAAAATTTATTTTCACGTACCTTTTATCGATAAATACATAAATTTTATATTCTACAATCACATTAAGGCATAAATTCAAAAGTTTTAGCATAATTCCCATGATTATGCAAATATTTACATAAAAATTGTTTTTAAATGCTCGTAAAGAATAAGACTTTCGAAATTAAGCGTAAACAGATCAATTCTTTTTTTAAATTTCGATATTACTGTATCCCTTTAATGTATTTGAATTAATTAACTTACCTGTAGTACCTGTATGGTTCGGTCTTTGTCTTCTACTTGGCCTTGCAAAAAGACTACCTGCCTTCGTAAATCTGCCAATTCGTCAACAATGCTGCTACCTTCGCTTTCGGGAGAAGTATTAACATCCACGGTATCTCCTTCGTTCAGGTTGTAGAAGAGGCCATTCTGCAATTTATTTCCATAAATAGCGAATTTAGTGAATTTTGTTAACACTTTCATATTCAACACGTTCGATATCAATGTCTACCTTGGTAACAGTTTCCATAGTCATAGTTTTCTTTTAGTTAGCTTATTTTCTTCTAAAGTATTATAAACAAATATTATCTCGACAATGTTGTACTCGTACATTTCCCAAATATCGCTATACTATACATATATTATAGTATCATTTTTTTTGTCAACAAAATTTGAACGTGTTAATATGATTTTAAATAAATGTTATAGAGCTCTTTAAAATGTAAATACCTTTACAGTATTATCGAATGGGGTGAGAGTATCTGCCTGTGGATTCAAACAAAAACATTACAAATTATTTAGTATTTTTGTGTAAGAAGATATGAGCAATTAAATATGATATAGAAACGTGTGCAATAAAGAAACAAAAATACAACGTACCCTCTTCAACCCGTTCTCTTCTGACTTGAAGGATAAATCATGGTTGGTGATAATAATGAAAAATAATATAAATAATCGTGTGTTAATACAGAAGCGCAACAATATTGTGCAGTACAAATAAACATAATATATTAAATAAAACATTTCATTGTAAGCTGAGTATGCATCAGGCGATACGGAAATTTATATTGTAATACCTTTTGAAGTAACTGCTTCAGTTTCAGGACTGTTGTTTTTATGGAAACAATGTCTAGAAACATATCTGCATACGCGTCTCTGTCGATCCGAATATCCAAATCGTTTACTCTGTCGATGCTTGGTGACTGAACCTGAATTATGATAATTGCAATTTCATTGATGTGGTACTTTCGCTTTAACTTCGCTCGTGAAGTGCATAAATGATTTCGTGTGATCAAGTTTATGAAAGTAAATATCGTATTTCTTTCGAATGTTCACTATATTTTTAATTAATAATTCCTGTTGATTCGTGTATTCGTGACTGAAATTTATGGGACGAGACTGAACATGCTGTAGAGTTTGAAAATTTACTTACATTCCTTGATGTTCTTAAGGGACTGGAGAATTGCCGATTCCGTGTGTTGTCTAGGAAACGTGGTGAATCGGTGACGGACCTACTTCGCCACGCTTTGTTCGTTTTGTCATATTCGTTTCTGAAACACAAACAAGCCGGAACACTTGTTACTTAGTCTTCAAACTTCGGCCGTTTATTTTCTCTTACCTGGAGATGACAAAATGTACTCGACCGATTTTTATTCGAGCACTTACTAATCCGAGTACTCGGAGTATTCATTAGGCCCTGAACACCGGTTTCTCAAGCACTTGAGATTACTATTACGGTAGAATCTCCGTTACATGAACTGATTGGGAAACAAGTGTTCACATAAGTGAATCGTTTTTTATATATTCAATCATTAAAAGAAAATGAAATAAAATGAGCACAAATTTGTTTTTAGATAACTTATTATGTGCAATGTAAGAAGACAATATTGTTAAATTCTTTTTTCTTAACTTATGGGAATTTTTTCATTCCTCAATTGCCCGAACTATTGAAATACAGCAATATTCAATTTTGTTTCGCCACTATAGTGTTTCAATTGGTTGAGGTATTTATTATTTATATTTGCTCCAAATATTATTCAATGGTACGTTTCATTGTACGCGTTCATTTTACAGATGCAAATATATAAACATTTAATAATTGTGGGAAATACACTGTTCACATAATAATACGTTCAAATACCAAGTGTCCATATAATGGAACGTTCACATAACGGGTACCCTTTCATATAACGGATGTTCTATCGTATTACGATTGAATAGCAGATTATGCATGTCGCTGCAGCGGCACCAACGGAGTACAAAGGGTTAAATGTGAAGTGGAAAGTATTTTGAAGGAAGATGCCTAAAGTTTGTTACTGAATACAAAACTTAATACATATACTACTATCAAATCAATCATATACTTTCATTGTTATATAAATCATGCACTATAAAATGCATACTACAAAATGAACAAAATTTTTGCGTTAGCACACAAAAATAACAATTCTTTACACGTAAAATCTGATATTTTGTTTTCTACATTGGAGTAAGATGCATGTAGATTTACAGTACACTTGAATAAACCTACGTTAATTAATCGACAGCGTGTTTTTATGCAAAATAAAATTTGTCTGCATCAGTTGCAAGTAGAAATGAGTAAATAGAAAATTACTTCAACTTGCAATCAGTTTAGTAGTTTGAAAATAATGTAACGAGATTCACGGGAATGAACTTGCAGATACGATAACAATAACATCTAGTGGATGAATTCTAAGTTATGGTTACTTGGGGCATCTTCCAACAAAAGAAAATTTTGATCTAAATCGAGTAAACATTTAACCGAATATTCGAGAGCTCGAGTAGTATGTAGTAGTATGTATAGGGCAATAGTAAGAGCTCCACTTTGTAGCGCGTTGAGGCAGGTCAATATTGGAGCTGCTATAAACAATAAGAGCGACGCTGAAAGCGAAGCATAGAAATACATTCTGTTGCTTTGTGCCATAGTTTTTACGCTGATGCAGTGAGCAGAATATGTACTTCGTCCAAACACATTAAATTTTTCTTTAGGTCTTGATGCGCCTTAACAATAGGCCTTAACAAGTAACGATCTTTTTGCTGTGGCTCAAAATAGATCCAAGCTTCGCGGATAGTATGTCAACAGATATTAATAAAAATTCATTTTCAAGTTCGGCACAAAAATTGTGCGGTCATACGTGTTGTCAAGTCTGAAATTAGGCTATCAGCACAACACCATTACAAACAAACCAAAAAACGTTTATAACAGCTTCTGTCATCGCTCTTACCAACCGCAGAAAAATTGGAAAATAATCGAATATCGCTTGAAAGGGAAGAAAATACCTTGCAGAATGACCGATGGCTCGCGGTATGGAAGAAGGGTGAGTAGTGTTAATTGGATTGCCGGTAGTTTTTCGTTGCCTGGGTACCGGCGAACCCGCCGTTGGCGTCGAACTGTCCGAGGACAAGCCGGAATCGCGAGTCTCTCGACCGTTCAAGTTTGTGGCAACTCCGTTTTCGTTCGCCACGCTCACACTATTAGCACTAGCAACCGCGGTTCGCGTGGATAAAACCGTTCGTCTTTTTGCACCCCTCGAAATTCCTGATGCAGACACCGACGACATCGACGATGCCATTATATTTGATTAACTGCATCTGGTGCACTCCCAAAGTACTGTTCTCCGACACTCACTATTATCAGTTAGTTACTCCGCGATTTTATTTACGTAGCTTACGATCCAGTTCACTATCAGTTGGCTACTCGATGATACACGTTTTTAAGTCTAACTGGATTAAAACTGATTTGTCAGTTTGCGCTGACATCGTCGGGTGATACATTTTAAAAGGCTAACTGGAGTAAAACTAACTTGATTGGAATCATGTTTGCAATAGTTACAATTGGAATCGTAATTATTGTAACTACAATTGTAGTTGGAATGTAATTCGTTGTTTGGGTTAGATACCGCACGATCGTTTACGGTTCCGTTATTATTTGACACGATTGGTTGAAACTGGAAATTGGTCGAGTCGAAGTGCGAAACAAAAATGGACAAATGTTTACCGAGAATCTTTCGAATAATTATTAGAGTGTACGGTTATTAGAATAATAAATATGTCGTATTTTAGACCTCACATTTTCATCGATTAATTCATTTGAGGAGTACTGCTTTCGAGCGTCTGCAGAAGTTTGAGAGAAACGTTTCGATATGTAGACAAAAGTTTACCAAACAAAATGTTAGCAAGTGAACTTCTGTAACACGTTAATTGTTGAATCGCAATCTAAAGAAGTCCTACATCAAAGTAGTTTTTAGCTACCGAAAGTTAATATTCGTTACGATTAAAGCGGGAAATCGAGATTGGTCATAATGGCTACTTTTTCATCCATTTTGTATTCTACAAATCCTGATAAGTTGTAATTTACTTGAATAAGTCACGATAAAACTGAATTCCTAAACTCGATCAATGAATAATAACACTAAATTCGATAAGTAATTAAGCTATTTATTTTCTTCCAAAAGGTGATATATACACATTACATTCGATAAATAAATAGCTTACTTTTCCCTGGTATATGGTAAAATAAGGGACAGCATCTGAAATAGCAGTAATTGTTGGACGAATACATAGGAGTATTATATCTATGACATGATTCTTTCGTAGCGAACAAATTTATGCGAACGAGCTAGATTAGGGAACCCGGAAATTAAAACTATAAAACTTCGCGTGCAAGTAGAGGAAGTCATTCATAATGCGAACTTATTTTTCGTTCGTATCATATTCTGATTTCAGAGGATGAATGTACACCTCTCGAAAAGAATTTAGAATTTCTTCGAATCTAAAATTTTTTAGTACTTAGATCGTT